ATATCTACACATCCCAATCCTTCAGGCGCACCGGAAATACCTGTGGTTCTCCCATGGAGAATGCTACTTCCAGTACCGGGCCCTCCTGTTCGGTCTGGCATCAGCCACCTGTACCTTCACAAAGGTCCAGGTGGCATTGGCGGCTCACCTGCACTCGATCCCGGTGAGACTCTAATGCTACCTAGATGACGTGTTAGTCCAGGCAGGTTCTCTTCATCAGGCAAGGTCCAGTCTCAGGTCACCATCCAATGCCTCCAGTCCCTGGGGTTCTCCATAATTTTTTCAAAAAGTCACCTGTCACCGTCCACTCAGATTCTCCACTTGGGGACAGTCATAAATTCAAAAACAGGGATAGTGCAGCTCTCCCCAGAACGCCTGGCCAGTCTTCGCCAACTAGTAGCCTTGGTCCGCAGAAGGCAGTCCGTTTCCATCCTGACCTTGTCTCAGCTACTTGGCAAGATGGTATCCTGTATAGGGATAGTTCCTTGGGCCAGACTGCACCTACAACCTCTCCAATGGGCCCTAATCCCATTCCAGAAGCGGCGTTTGAGCAATTCCACCAGGACCTTGTGATTACCACCAGCGGTCCGGTCCTCTCTCCTGTGATGGTTGTCCCCAGCAGTACAATGGAGGGGCTCGTTCTGGGAACTGGACAGAGTGACAACCGATGCGAGCCTTTTCAGCTGGGGAGTGGTAATGGACTCCAACATGGCCCAGGACTGGAGGACTGCCACGGATCTCCGCCACAATATAAACTGGCTGGAGCTGAAGGTAGCACGGCTAGCCCTCTGACACTTCAAACATCACCTCCAAGGTAACATGTCCTGCTTCTGATGGACAACGTAGCCACGAAGGCACACGTGAACCATCAGGGGGGGCCGCATTCCTGGGCCCTGTGGTAGGAGGTACTGAGACTGGGTTCGTGGGCAGAGTGACATCTAGCATCGCTAGTGGCGGAGCACATCTCCGGGGAGACAAATCACCAGGCAGACTGGCTGAGCTGGGCGACTCTGGACAATGGTGAGTGGCAGCTCCTCCCCAAGCTTTTCCAGAAGGTCTGCCAGAAGTTCAGCACCCCAGTGGTAGACTTGTTTGCCACGCCCAGAAACGCTCAACTGCCATGCTTTTTCTCCCGGTTCTGGTCCCGAGAGGCAGAGGGCACAGATGCCCTCAGGAGCAGCTGGCCGTCGGGTCTGCTTTATGCCTTCCCTCCCATTCCCCTCATTCCCGGGACAGTCAGGAAGATAGCCAGGGAAGGGGCTCAGATCATCCTTCTTGCTCCATACTGGCCCAGGAGACCGTGGTCCGCGGACCTAGTCCAGTTGTCGGTGTCCCCCCCATGGAGGATACCTCGGGAGGAAATCGCCTTGTGTCAGGGGGTCCTGGTACATCCGGAGCCCCAGTGGCTCCACTTGACCACCTGACACTTGAGCGGTACTCCCTGAGGAGTGCTAATCTATCCACAGAGGTCATAGCCACCATCAAAGCCTCTAGGCGGCCCTCCACCACCAGAATATATAACTCCACCTGGGGGGAGTTTGTCAGATGGTGCACTAACCGCAGTCTCGAGCCTTCCAGGGCTTCAGTGTCTGATGTCCTGGAATTTTTGTGAAAAGGTTTCGAGGACGGCCTGTCCCAAAACACTTTACATAGGCAAGTGGCCGCTTTGGCCACAGTACTGGCGGGGAGGGATCACATACCCTTTNCCCTGGGCTAGTTCATGAACATTCATGCCACTGGTTGGTTTTTAACAGGGTAGAAGAGGTTGCTGCTTTTGTTGCAAAAGACTGTCATGATTGCAAAATCCCAATTCTCCTGGTTCCATATACAGAACCATAGAAACTTTAAAACAGACTTGTATATCCTCCTATAGCTGACCACCTGTTAAGTAGCTATGCTGGAGTTTACAAATATTTTCCTGTTTTACTTGTGATGAGAAACTCATTAAAAACGATCACTTTGGGTTTTGGTTTTCAACAGTAAAGTTTTTTTTTTTTTGCCTGAGAAACAAAACAGTATTTTTGACAGAAATGAAATAAGAAAGGAATTGTAGTATTTAGCAAATTTCCAAGGTACTAGTAAGGGTGCTTTTGATTTGGTTGTAAACTTTATAGGAAGGGAGTCATCTTAGTCTATGATGGCAACAAACTAAAAGGAATCTGGTAGCTTCTTTTCTGATTAACAGATTTTATTGAAGGCATAAATCTAATACTCCTTTGGAACAGAGACCCGGAGATGTTTTAATCAGAATATCATCTTACCTGTTCTACCTTCCTGAGCAGATCCTTTTTTTGCCTCTCCCACTCTCGCCGGTCTTTGTCAAGTCTTTCTAAAAGCTCTATTTTTTCTCTTTTCCAGTTTTTTTCATTGTGCTGAATTTGCCATTGCAAGTCCATTACTAATCGATGACTCTCTGCTAAGAGGTTCTTGTGTTCCTCTCTCTCCCTTTTGAAAGCTGTTGTGGCATCAACGCCAGTCTGACTCTGTGCTTTTTCAGTCTTCCCTTCCAGCTGTAAATTAAAACAAAACTTTCCCATGGCACAATAGTTTTTCATACAAATTAACAGGATTTGCTACCAAATTCAACATAAGCTTTGACGTTTTGATTTGAAAGAACAACTGTAAAATGGGAACAATGTTTATATCATTTGTAGCTTAAGATTGCAATTCAATTTAAAAATCTCACTGAAGTTTATGATTCATGGCTCAGAATGTATATTAACTCTGATGCTTTATAGTACAAAGGGAGTTCAAATGTAAACCTATTTTCAGTACCAACCTTCTTCACTGCTGGCTATAGCATATTATGAAAAATAATATAATATGTAAGTATATTTATATAATGTAAGAACATGTTAAATAAATAATATACATAATTATAAATGAAGAATATAAAAAGAATATGGCTATTATAACCATAGGTGATGCTGCAGCTCAGTAAGAAAATAGAAAAAATAGTTCTATGTCATAGTCTCTTCATTTTATAAGTTGTAAATACTATTTTCAAAAATAGTATTATTTCTTGACTGAAACCCACAATTTGAATTGTTTAGATTTGGTACACTCTCACAATTTCTAATATTCCCAGAGGAATTTCTACATTAGGACATTTCCACACAGCCAATGTCATCATTTTCCAAATACTCAGAGCTACTTCTCAACTGCCTTGACTTCAGCCTTTGTGAGAATCCAAGATGAGTCAGCAGACTACACAGACTACAAAAAGGAAACAAGATCTTCACCTCCCACAAGCACCCCATTCCTATCTTCATAACATGCAATTTGTATAGTGTGATAAAGGGTTTTTAAGAGCACTATTAACTGCAAAGCATTGTCTGAAGACTGAGGCAAACATTTTGGGTCACTAATGAAGTTTAGCAGCTATTCGTATAAAAAACAAAAGTAGCAGAGATGTTGGTTCTGTTAGTAAGTAACTTTTGCCAAATTGTCTCACTTCCCAAATCTGTTAAGGTTCAACATCACAAATGGGAAAACTGAGATTATGCTATATGAGCTATGTGGGGGAAAAACAATCTCAGTTTTCAATGCCAATGATAGCACAGGCTCACAAGAGGCACAATGCCAGTCCAGGAGAACCGCCAAAAGTGTGCTCATTCTAAAGCAACAGAGACCCTACAGAGAAAACATACAATAACATCCCATATTCCTAGGAGTAGAACTTGTACCATGAATTAATGTTTGATTTTGTGCTTTCACACCAGTTTTTGACTCTAGTGGCTGCCTGGACAAATCCTGGAAGCTTTCTGAGCAAGATTTTTGGAAGCAGTTTGCCAAAGGGTCCTTCCTAGGGATGAGAGAAAGTGACTGGCCCAAAATCACTTAGCTAGACTTCATGCCTATGGGAGGAGTAGAAATCAAGGTTTCCGGGTTTCTAGCCTGAACCACTAGACCAAACTGGCTTTTATGTTTTCAAATTGTTGATGAAATAATCAAGCCCTGAACATATCTTTGCAAGGAGCTTATCTCACTTACAGTATCATGCCCTTTGACTCAAATTATGGAAAAAAAACATACCTGCTCCAGCTGACAGTTCAGTGTAGCCCATTCCATTTCCCATGCAGCTTTGTCAGTGGCATATTGCTGTTGCAAATCATGACGCTCTTGCTCATCATCTTGGAGTTCTGATTGGAAGTTATCCAACAACATTTTCAGGGCATGCAAGAGTCGGCTATTATCCTTTGCCTGAAAAAAGCAAAACTGTCTGCAGTTCTGAAATATTGTCATTCAACCACAACTTTACAAACTATGGGATCAAAACGTCTATGATGATTTTTGACGAGGCAACTGGACTTTCCAGTTTGTTTGGTTTTTT